CGAGGATCTTGAATATGATTCTGAGGATCCTGCCCCAAACAATTATTATTATTATTATTATTATTATTATTATTATTAAAACCAAGTTTCATTAAAAAATCAGATTGATCGTTCATGATAAAGTAGACATGTTAGCAGTTGATCTTGATTGTGGAAACCTACATGGATCTGACACATGTCCTTAAAGTTTTTCACAATAAATTAATGATGAGTTTTGATACAAAATATAAGTTTGTTTTTCACAAAAACTGCAACGTAAGACTTTAAAAAATAACATGTTTATTTTTTGTTCATAACAAAACTAAACCATCAAGGATCCATTTATAAAGGTAAAAATGAAATTAAAACAACCAAATATTTTTTAGGATGATAAACTTTGAAGCCTTTGAACCCACTTGGTTTTGGGGTGTTGATGAAGATTGAAAAACTCAAAGATTATGATTTCTTTATATGTATCCACCATCAAGAGTAAAGCATATGGAATGCTAGTTCCTTCTTGTATTCTTGAGTGTCTTAAGCCATTAAGTGCTTAACTCAAATAAGCACTAAAGGAGACAACTCAAGAAGGCTTCTAATCTTGCAATAATCTTCGAAAGACAACAAGAAGAGGAAGAGTAAGGTAGTTTTGGCCATGAGAAGAAATAGATAGATTCACTAGCAAAACTAGCTCCAAACTCACGCAATACACCTCTTTAAGTACCCATCAAAAAGCAAAAGCAACCTCATATTATAATCTAAAGTAATACCTTACTTTAGAGGCATGAGGGAAAAGGGTGGGAGGTTGACAAACAACCTCCCACACAATCATCATACTTTCAGCCATTCCACTTGAAATACGATGGATTCTTAAATTTTTATAAACTCCCAGTTTATGAAATCTAAACTATGTTTAGGAAAAGGACAAAAGAATCCAACTAATCCAAAAGGTTGTGCATGAATTATTAAATCATATCATATGAAATAATAACTAGTTATACTCTCTTTCCTAAAACCATAATTATCCCCTACTTAAAATACAAGAATTGATATTATTTATTAATAATCATATTAATAATAAATATACAAAATGTGCCAACTTGATAAACGTGTGACCTTATATGATCATATATTTATAGCAATATCACTACATGATGATTCTTGGGCATATAGATTCAACAATCTCCCATTTGCACAAGATTCATTATAGAGTCAAATAGATAGTAGCTGACGTCTAGCAATGAGCTACTGCCCCTAACAACATATGAAGGGTTTCATCTCATCAACAACCAATTCTAGGAGCTCTAAGCTACAATTGTTACTAAAGGTGTGTTATCAACTATTCCTTTGTCTTAGAAATCATGTCGAACATGAGATATGGATCGCCATCAATCTCATTTAGTGTTCAACTTTTAGCAAGGCCTTAGATGTCTACCTCTCAATGAATAAGAGGGAAAATCCAATCTTGACTACATACGCCCATCAATGTAGTTCATGTCATACCCAACCATGGCCCTTATGACTGTCTTTTATGGAACAACGTTGAACCATGACAAAGCACAACAATTCCTATACTTCAAGTCCCAACTATGTACCTCAAGTCTAAGAATACAGAGATACAACCTTGATCAAAACATCAATCTTGACTATAATCCATAAAGTGATTTTGATGCAAGGTCAAGTCCAATACTTATTCTCCTAATTAAGTACCTATGGAGTTGGTAGCAATTGTTGCTATTTTCATCTCTATGAAAATCAACCAATCCACTCATATTAGTCTTACCTCATAGATGCTCCCACAACTATGAACGACTATGGACATTTAGAATAACCTAGTTATTCAAGGATTAAACATGCTAATATAGAACACAACAATTATTCAATGAAAGACTCATATCCAACAAATAAGTCTTGAACCTAACAAAGAAGTATCTCCAATTGAAAGTGGCAAAATCACCACCACAAATTCTTAGATTTCCACCACCACTTCAATAAAGGAAATATACTCAAGAACTAACTTCAAAGTAGTATGGAGGCTGTCAATTAGGGTCTAATCCCATATTTAGGATTAGGGGTTACTTAAATACATCATAACTTTCATTATTGGCCCTCAAAGTATCACAAAATGACTCTTAGACCCATATACACGATCTAGGTTCATTTTATTACACTTTGGCCCTCCAAAGATAAATTTAAACAAATGAAAATTTTACTTTTACGATAAGAATTAACGGAACACTAACACTGATGATAAATATAAATTCGGGTTGTTAAACAATCTTAATCCAACCTGTTGAGCATTTTCTGGACCTTTGTAAGTCTTTTAGGCTCAATTTTGTGGTTGTTCTTTCTAAACCTTGAGTTCTAGGTTTGCTTTGCTCTACTTTGATGAGTTTTAATGAAAGGTTAGAATAAATTTTGCACATTTATTGTTTTTCAAGGTCCCTAAAGTGTTATTCGTTTTGGATCCGGTTCCTACTCTCCATTTGATGCCATGTTTGGAGTTAGGACCTCATTTCACCATTTTTTTTACCTAGAATGGTGTGAGCTTTGGATGAGTTATGCATGCCATAAAGTTTAGATTTTTATAGACTATAAGAGTGTATTAAAGCCTTCTAGAAAGTTTGAGGCTTGGACTTAACAGATTAAGATCTTAATGAAGAAATTATTATGCCAGACGAACCGTGATGCGGTCAAGGGTTAACTACGGCACGGTGGACGAGAGGTCCTAGTCGTGACTTGGCCATGATGCGGTTGACCGTTGACCGTTGAATTTTTACCAAGTTGACTATTGGTTATAGTTGGAAATTTTAGGAAGTAGATTGAGGTGTGACCTTTGTTCGTTATAGGTGATTCGTGTAGCAAATTCTATATGTGGAAGAGTCATGATTTCCACCTATTGATTCATGTGAGTCTTTTCGCTATACTAAGTAGATCACAAGGTATCATTTTATGTTTGAGTATCTTTGTGACTTGCATGGAAGACTATGGTTGGATCATAGCAAGAAACACTGTAGTTCGACTGTAGCAACATAAATGATTAATATAAGACTATGTGTGGATTATAACATTGAAAAGGGTTGAGCCCACTTGATTGAAACAGAATTGTTAAGTTAGGCCTGTTATTGTATGATATGTGTTATTTTGGGAAACTTACTAAGATTTGTACTTACTATTTAAAGTAAATGTTACAAGTGCTTCTTTGTTATTAAGATTTATGCACTTGACTTTATATGAGTTTGATTTTATGTTGTAAACATTAATTGGTTATATTTTGAGAATGAATTGATATTGTTTCTTTGTTCTAAAAATGAAAAATTCGTCTTGAAATTTGGGACGTTTCATTTAATTTAATTGGGAGATTCCTTAGTGGAAGAACCCGAACACATAGATGGGAGTATGGTTGTAGGTATATGTTTTGTCTTGATTTTTCTGTTATTCCACTTTGCGTTCCGTATTCCATTGCTATCAACTTTTAAATATTCTCTATATGCTCCATGCAAAACTAGAAACACAAAAGCTTGTCATAATATATATATATATATATATATATATATATATATATATATATATATATATATATATATATATATATATATATATATATATATATATATATATATATACATGCATGCAAAAGGCATTTGACCTAGCAATATCAAGGTGTGTTGTAAATGTGTCCCAACCCAAGAGGTTGATGGTTTAAGTTTCATTGTTCATAAAACTTAGATTTAGGAGTAGGATTAGAGAGGATGTGTGTCGTTCTAAAAAATATAGATGCATGGAATATGACTTATTTACGTTGCCATAGAAATATTGACCTAGAGCGACGACTTATGTGGTCGAAATTGGTGACGTCAGTTCCCATGGAGAACACATATGACTAAAAAAAACTTTCAATCGGAAATATAATTACTCACAATGCTTTAAAACATTTTGATACAGAGCATTCCAATGGGTAGCTTTACTTAATAAGTTTTTTCAATAGGTTTACTTATATGTCGTTACAATATCTATTTATAAAGTAAATAAATAATATACTTTAAAAATATGAAAAAAAACCTATCCATTGATCTTATAAATTTACAAGTAATAATTTGAAATAAAAAAAGATCTTATAATAGTTTTTTGGCTTTCAGTAGCTAATTTGACTGCCTTTTAAAAAAAACTACTACTGGGAATGCTCTTGTATATTATAACATTGACACATGACTATATAAGGATCAAATGCAGTGTTTATAAATCTCATGAATTCAGTTCTTGAATACACTGTGTTTTCGTATCATGCAACCTTTTATATATGATTGGCACATTGTACCAATACCATGATGGTTAGGTTGTTCTGTGGATGAATGGTAATCCTGTTAGTTGATTCGGAATAGTTCTAATTACCATCTCCTCAAGTTTGTATCACAAGTGCATATATTCACTTGAGTAGTAGTTTGTCATTACTAGTTAACACAATTTAGGACATTTTTTGTAACAAGTAATACACTACAACAAAACCATATTGGGGTCTTAGTCCCTAACAAGCACCTTACCATCCAGTTTAAATTGTAGGCATCTTAATATGGACTTTTAAAGTATGCCACAGCAAAGTTTAGCAACCACTTTAAAAGCTTTATATGAGCATTTTGTTTTCAAATCTTTGTTTGAGAGCAACCAGATTAATTCCTTTGGGTTTTAACTAAAATGCAACAAGTTTAAAAACATCTGCTCCAGTACATAACAGAATTCTTATCCCAAAATTCAGCACATCCAAGTATAGGGACAGTTTTTTTTAACCCCGTTAAGTCCTGTAATGGTAAAGTGGCTGAACAGATAACGATCCAAAGTCCTGTATACATAAGTTCGGTTTCTTTTCTAGACTAAATAAAAATATATGACCATTCTACCCTTGCATTACGAAAAAGCAAATAAAGTCAAAAGAAAACAAACATAAATAGTTGTCTAGATTAAACCCTAAACACATGAAGTCTATTTAAGTAAAAAAGAAACAGCCACCAAGTCTTGTATTTTATTAGTTAGAAGATTGCAAGACGGGATATGAACTCTAGGATCTCCTTCTTCCGCTCAATCTCATCAACAGATGCAACATTGCCAGTAGAGAGCCATTCCTCTGTATCATCGATTGCATTTTGCACATTCTTCAAGTCCTTTGGGGGAATATCATTTCTCTTAATCTTATTCTTTAAGTCATATATGTAATCCTCCAAGGCATTGCATGCTTCAGCTTTCCTCTTGAACTCTTGGTCCTCAAGCTTGAACTTCTCAGCAGCTTTCACCATTTTCTTAATCTGTCGCTTCGACAATCTTCCACTAAGATTGGTAACAGTAAGGCTTTTGGTCTTACCAGTGGATACTACCTTAGATGTAACTGTAAGGATACCATTAACATCTATTTCAAAACAATCCTCTAATACTGCAACTCCTTTAGGAGCAGGTGGAATTCCTGAAATTTCAAATGATCCCAACAAGAAGTTATCAGTAGATCGAGTTCGTTCACCTTGGTACACCATGATATCCGTAGAAGATTGGTTGTCTGAGGTTGTAACAAAATTCATGGTCTTCTTGGTAGGTATAGGAGTGTTCCTTGGTATCACAACATGCATTCTTTCCCCTATTACCTCTTTACCAAGTGACAAGGGAGTCACATCCAATAGCACCAATTCCTTTATCATCTTCGTAGTCTGACCACATAATTTTGCAGCCATAACTGCCGCCCCATAAGCTACAGCTTCATCAGGGTTGATGCTCTTGCATAGCTCCTTCCCATCAAAAAACTCATGTAACATACGTTGGATCTTTTGTATCCTAGTTGATCCACCAACAAGAATCACCTCATCTACACTTCCTTTCTTCATATTCGCATCAGCTAAACATGACTCAAGTTGCTTGATACACTTTGTAAAGAAACTCATATTAAGCTCCTCAAATTTCGCACGAGTAATCTTCATAGAAAAGTCAATACCATCCAGCAACACTTCTAGTTCGACTGAAGTTTGAGTATCATATGAAAGAATTCTCTTTGCTTTTTCACAGGCAACTTTTAACCTTCCTAACGCTCTTTCGTTTCCGGTTAAATCCTTGTTCCATTTCTTCTTAAAATCATCAACACAATAATTTACCATTCGGTTGTCAAAATCCTCACCTCCCAAATGAGTGTCACCAGCAACAGCCTTCACCTCAAACTTACCCTCTCCATCAATGGTGAGAAGAGAGACATCGAAGGTGCCACCACCAAGATCAAAGATAAGCACATTCTTCTTTCCATTGAATCTATTGTCTACACCATAAGCAATTGCAGCTGCTGTTGGCTCATTGATCATGCGTACCACATTTAATCCAGCAATAGTAGCAGCATCCTTTGTTGCTTGACGCTGACAATCATTGAAATAAGCAGGGACAGTGATTACAGCATTTTTCACAGTGCCACCAATATACGCCTCTGCAATCTCTTTCATCTTGGCTAGAACCATTGACGAAATTTCCTCCGTAGAAAATTGTTGTTCGTGACCTTTGTGAGTAACAACAACTTTTGGCATGTCGCTAGGCCCTTGTATGACCCTAAATGGCATTAGCTTTATGTCTTCCTTCACCATGACTTCACTAAACCTCCTGCCGATCAACCTCTTCGCATCTAGAATTCCATAACTTAACCATATCAGCCATGCAATAAAAGCGTGTGAAAAACATATAATTAGTATTAAATGATATAGAGAAAGTTGGAACCCACTGAATACAGTGTTAGCAGGGTTCCTTGCAATTTGATTCTTGGCACCATCGCCAATGAGACGTTCGACATCTGTGAAGGCAACACATGATGGGGTCGTTCGGTTTCCTTGATCATTCGTAATGATCTCAATTCGATCATGTTTCCATACAGCAACGCATGAGTAGGTCGTGCCCAAATCGATGCCTATTGCTGGTTCTCCGCCTTCCCAACTCTCCATAAACTACTGTATAGGTTCAAACAGAAACAACCAACAAGACAGTGACTTTAAGATGAACGCTCACGAAACAATGCAACGAGTTTATGATGTCTGCACTCCTCACGATTTACTGAATATGTAGCATTTCGTGAAAGGTAATTACTCTGAGTTTCGGAGATTAGAAAGAGAGGAATACATGTTAGTCTTTTGCTTTTGCTGAAAGTTGATGAGAGTGGGTGCCAGGTTGTAAACAAGTGACACTCATTTATAAAAAAATAAAAATAAAAAATGTTATTGGTAGACTAGAATAAAGTTATGTGCAATGAGTGTTAAAGTGATTGACAAGATGAATATCACCGTATGAAAATTGGATATTAAAGATATACTTTTTGATTTGAAGGTAACTTCAGTGTTAAGATTTCATTGAGATTTTTTTGTGTGTTTTAAAAGAATTTGATAAAATATGAGGGAGATTTATGTAATTGGTCCTGAAAATATCACGTTAAGTTCTTCAAATTCTTTTTTATTCCTTACAAA